AATTTCTTTTATAGGCCAAAAATATGCCAATCCAGGGGCACTGTCCATGGTGAATTCTTATACTTCACAATGTGTGACCGGCGGCTCTTAACCAGTGCAAGCACAAACGTAAACCAGCACTTCAGACCAAGGGGTGAAAAGATAACCACTCAAGGACCTTAGATATGCAGCTCAGACCTCAATAAGCAAACAGTAAGAAATTCATGACATATTGAGAAGTTCTCATAACAAGTGGTGGTACTCTGACATAAGTTTGAAACGAATGTCCAGGTGACATCATTCTAATTAACAATTCAAAATCTAGTACTATCATGTCATGTTAATGCATAAGGTTGATCAAATTTGCAGATGGAAACAGAATATTTGTACTGTATTTTCTTTTGGCCAGTGGCATTTACCAATAGATTGACTATTTTGATCAAAATTACAGAGTGCAAAAATATCTCTTGCATAAGGATGTGGTGAGAAGGATAATGCTGTTGGGAGGTGGTAAACGTATTCTGTGCATGTAGAAGATAAGTGCAGAAATAGTGAAGCAGTTATGTGTTGCTATAGATCGTTGTGTTGTTTCTAGCATGAGGTAGTTTGATACATTGAGATACTGTGATTTGTGAGTTTGAAGAGAATTTGATTATGTAATTGTGTTAAATGGGTGGTCTTGCATATTTTTTTATTAGAGAGTGGTTTAGCACACAAGGTGGATGCATATATAGCCATACCCTAGTAAGCAGGGAAGCTATTTCTAACTAAACTCCTAGCCATTTAGATTGCATGGGAGCAACCAAATCTGATGCCAAGACTTACACCCAACTACCAAAAAAGGAACTGATTAACATTATATAAATGTGTGGGGATTCTTTATAATCAAAATGTAAGCAAACAAGTTTTAAGTTGATAATTATGTTCAAGAAAGATGAACACAAGGCTGCATAACTAAGGTGGACAAAAACACACATGAAAAACAAAGGAGACAACAAAAGCACTCTATGATCTACAGTTGAGTATGCACCAAAGCGAAAAAAATCCTGTTGCCTTTTAGGAAAATGCTACAGAATCTCGACGGATGGTCATAGTCTATCTCAAAGATATAACATTTATTCTATCATACTTAAGCAAGAAACACAATAGCAGATCATAGCATACATTTTCAATAAGCGCCATGTGACACCATCCATCTAAATTATAATAAAAAACAAAGTAAATACAAATAAATTGTACATCAGCAGTAGTGCACAACAAAAAAAGAAGTATACATCAGCTGTGTGCTAAACAACAGAGAGATGATAGTGTTTACATTGGTCTTAACGGACAAAGGTCATTTTTGCCAAAAGAAAAATAGATGAATAATACTGTAAAGCAAAGACACTTCCTGTTAACACTATCATATCCTTCTTCAGAACAAATAAAGAACTTTACATCTAGATTGGTTTATAACAAATCAATAGCGAAATATGAAGCATTATTAGATTAGCAGCAGATAATTCATTCTAATGTAACCAAAGACAACTCCGTAGATGACAGAAAAAAAAGGAAGATGTGATTAGTTAGCTTTGAATGCATTAAAAGAGAAATATAAAAGGCTAACTAAGGTGGAAAATAAATCAACGAGAATACTAAATAATAAGAGAGGAGAGGGCACCTTTGCTGCACAGGTGGAATCCCCTCTTTCTCCTCTACCCTTTCCTTGATCCTGTCGATGGTGTCAGTGGGCTCAATGTCGATCTCGATTTCCTTCCCAGTAAGCGTCTTCACCTTGATCATCATTCCGCCCCTGAGCCTCAAGACAAGGTGAAGAGTCGACTCCTTCTGAATGTTGTAATCAGCCAAGGTGCGGCCATCTTCCAATTGCTTTCCCGCAAAAATCAACCTTTGCTGGTCTGGAGGTATCCCCTCCTTGTCCTGCAAAAAAGGCGACTTGCTCATTGCCGTACGTAATACCCTGCAACCCATTATCTTTGAACAAACATGACATTGTTGCTGCTGTCACAGGGTACAAACCCAAAAGCCCCCTCAAGATTCAAGCCGAAATCATCTATTGCGACCTTTAACAAGAAGAAGAGGAGGGGAGACCTGGATCTTGGCTTTGACGTTGTCGATGGTGTCGCTGCTCTCGACCTCGAGGGTGATCGTCTTCCCCGTTAGGGTTTTCACGAATATCTGCATCCTCCCGCGCTTGTAGTCGTCCTCCGCTTTGGTTATCCGCCCTCCTCCTCTGGCGGAGAAGAAGATCGAAGGCGGTGGTGGTAATAAAGCGGAAGGAGACGACCAAATCGATCGCGTTGAACGGACGCTGACAGCGGGCTCGGCGTCCTCCTCGTCCTCGTCCTTGACAAGCCAAAAAAGGGCAAAATAACAATAATAAGTAAATCTTATTATCAGATTCTCTTTTCAATTTTAAATGGATCACAATTATTATAAAACAAAAAAAATCATAAAAAATAACTATTATATATTATTTAATTTAAATTTTATTGTCTATCATAAATAATAATATTTTTTTTATGATAGACATTACATAAGTCTAAATATAAACACTATAGGAATTTTGACAAACACATACGAGGCAAAGTGACCATACACATTGACAGAAACAGATGGTCTAAATAGAAACACTATGGAAATTTTGACAAACACATACGAGACAAAGCGAGCATATACATTGGCACGCACAGTCGAAAAGCACTATGGGAATTTTGACAAACACATACAAGGCAAAGCGAGTTCATACAATGGCATGCGTAACCGAGAAGCAGATAAATCTAAATATAAACACTACGAAAATTTTGACAAACACATACGAGGCAAAGCGAGCATACACAATGGTACAAATGTCGAGAAGCAGATAAATCTAAATGTAAACACTATGGAAATTTTGACAACGAGGTAAAGCGAGCATACACATTAGAACGCATCGAACACATTGACGAGTATAGTCGAGAAGCAGGTTTCGCTACTACTTGGAGACGCATCGAACACATTGACGAGCATAGTCGGGAAGCAGGTTTCGCTACTACTTGGAGACGCATCGAACACATTGACGAGCATAGTCGAGAAGCAGGTTTCGCTACTACTTGGAGACGCATCGAACACATTGACGAGCACAGTTGAGAAGCAGGTTTCGCTACTACTTGGAAGAGGGCTAAGAGACGGGGTTTTTTAGTCCCACATTGCTCAGTTCAGAGGACTGCTCGGCCAAACCCGCTATATAATGAGCGGAATGTTCAACAAAAAATTCATGCAGCTGCGTGGTGAGCACAGAGCGAACTATTCTTTCGCCTTTTACTAAAGAATACCGTGTGCACGCCACATAAAGCAGCATACGCCAATTTTTGGAGGGATTCGTCTCTTTTAGAGAGGGGTCCCAACAAAGCTTAAGCCAAACTAATAGCCAGGGGACAAATTACGTTGTAATAGAGTAAATAGTTCGTTGGCTTTGTTTTCGTTAGCATTCTTATCTTATATATTGATGTAGAATATCTATCTATTTGGTTTTCTTATGGCACAATTTGGTTTCCTTGTGGCAGGATTTTGCCGGAGATCTGATTACTGACAAACAGTTCAGTCTGTCCAAAATAGAAATCCTGCCTCCTGAAGATGAAGTATTGTGGCAGCAGCAGATGTGTCTTCCACAAGATCATGTTGTTCTTCAAAGTATGTCTTCTTCATTATAAAGAGAAAGAAATTTGATACTAGCAGACATTTTTTCCATACCAACAACAAAGCAATTTATCAATTTGTAAGCTTTTCCCTGATTCAGTCATTATTTTGGTGATCTATCTGCCTTAAAAATTGAGCTTAGTTGGACAGTTGTTGATGAATTCCAACTCAATTCAGATTGGAGATTTATCTGGCCTTCAAAGAAGACAGCCAGCGAGTGCTCAGAAACACAAGAGAGCATCCACAGAAAACAATCTGAGACAGCAGAACTTGTCTTCTCAAAATAGCCAGTGAGTGCTCAGAAACACAAGGGAGCATCCACTGAAAACAATTTGATGCTTCATGTTCCAAAGATTCCTTTTGTCCATTGATTGAATGCTCTGCTACAGCTCATCACTTGAAAGCTGCAGAAGCTTGGGACCATAGCAATGAGACCAAATACAAGAAAACCCAGTCAAGGAGAACACAAGATAACATATCACCTGATCTTGGCCCCTCCAGATCAAGAATGTTCTCCACTTGAATGCCGGATTGATTTGGATGAGTTTGATTCATTGCTCATTATAATGTGTCCACATACACAGAATTTGACAGCTTATACTGCATCCAAGCATTACCTTCCAAAGCTCAAGACACAGGCTGCTCCACATGAGACTCTTTCATGCCACTTTGTATCCAAACTAAAGGACAAAGGACACACTGCAACTTTCCCTTACACCCATCCAATTTATTTTCTGTGTTGCAAAGCTTATTACCCTTCCTTTTGTTTTCACTTGATTGCTGACTCTTTTTACCCCTCTGAACTCCTTGTAAGAACTTGTGACAGGTCTTTTCTTAGTGTTTGCATGATATGCTGAAGAATCTTGGTGAAGACAAACCTTCTTTGAGATGGCTTTTGGTACTAAATGCATTGCTGGACTAATTTCCTTTGAATTCCACAACCATTTCCAAATAAACAGATCTGTATGATTGAGTCATAGTATTGGCTCATTTAGGACATCAGTTAAGTTCTAAATGGTCATGATACAAGCATTCCTCCTGGTTGAAGAGCAAGAATGCAGTATAAATATGACCTCCATTGATGCTTGCTTGAATTAAATACGTGCTAACATGTCAGATTATGTCTTAGATACTGAAATGTGAGATCTAGTAACTCGGATTGCAGTTAGTGGACCTGATTTATCTGTCCTCTCCTATTCTCTTTAATTAGACACACCAGATCTCCACAAAGAGAGCTGAGAAATAACCAAGCTATATGAACGGAGATAAATTACCTTCTATTGTTGCTATTGTCACAAACAGAAATTGAAGATTGAGTGAAAGAATTAAGGGACAAATATGGGTTAGAAAACCATCAAACTTTTCCTTGAAGCTTTAATTTTTCTTGTTCTTGAAAGAAGGAAAACCACAAGCTTTTGTAAAGGCTTGTGTGTGTTATGTACCCTGGCAAAACACCCATAGTTCCCTTTCCATTCCATCCCCACCTTCATCATCATCATAAAGCCTCTCAAGAAAGAAAGGCTCATCTTAAGCATGATATGATAGAAACACAAGAAAGGAGGAGGACCAGCTGATGGACAAGGCAAAGACCAGTCTTTTCTTCACCATCACCACCTCAACTCCATGTTGCCTTTGCAATGGAAAGATCCTCCAGCCATTCAAACACCCTACTCCTGCGCACAGTTTCACCCCTCTTTAAGCTCATCGTCTCCTCCTTTTTCTTCTTTGTTGGTATGGCGATTGGCTCCAGCGCATCCGATGAGCACTTGCAGCTGAACCCACGACCGCCGGGCCGCGGCGGTGCCTTCTTTTGGACATTTGCCTCGATTCTTGTACCTCTCGATGCCTTCTTCGCTTGTTTGGCCTCCGCGTCGCTCTTCCTGCTGCTGACACCGCAGCTGTTCGACCTTCGCGACATCATGTCGTACAATTCGATCTCGGGGGCCTTGGCGATGCCCAGCCGAAAGATCCCCCACCCTGGCGGCGCAGAGCTCGTGCTCCTCCGGCCCGCGCTCGCCTTCCTAAGGACGCGAACCTGCGGCGTAGGACTCGGACGGGCGCAGAAGTTGCCGGGAAGTGACACCCGCGGGTGCTCGCTGGTGCTGCTCGAGTGACTGTTTGATGAATGGCTCCTGCTGATGCAGCTGCTACTGCTCCTGCTGCTGCTGCTACTCCGGCTTGCACAGTTGAAGCCCAAGCCAAGAATGGTAGATGAGTACTGGTCGAAGGAGTCGGACCTCGACCTGCTCCAGCTCGGCCTACAGGAGCCGATGGAGGGCCGCAGTGGAAGAATCTGGCCCTGGAAGAACACTTCATCGGCGGCGCACATGTCGGTCTCCGCGGCATTGGAAAGGAGACCTCCCGCCACCGATATCCGGAACTCGAAGTCCTCCTCCGCATCACTAGACTTGCACTCACCGTCGTCATCTTTGTCGACGGCCACCTGGAGGCCAGAGAGCGACAAGGCCTCCTCTTCTTCCTCAAAGGCCTCCTCCCATTTCTCTTGTGCTGCCACTGCCATTGTCATTGCTTGGGCTTCTTCCACCATTTCTCTGGAGGAAAGGAAGGTTGGAGATTTATAGGAGGCGATGGAGACTGGAAGAGGGAATTCCGATGCCTGAGACATTCCCGTTGTGTAGGCTTGTGGGCGGGCCCTTGCGTGCCTCCCCTACAAGCAGCCTAAAGAAACTTCTTCATGTGGCATGGATTTTGGGCAGTGGAAGTAGTTAATGGATAGAGTACCAATTGATAGGTTGGCCTCAGGAGAAAAAAATCTATGAGAAAAAGAAGATCTATGTCAAGTTGGATGGTCTTTTTAATCTCCTTTCCAGTCTCTCCATGTTCCTGTAGATGCCATGGGGGGCAGGTGGGACAGCAACTCTTTGGAAACTTGTAATTGAAGAGAGACCAGACTGGTTTTGATGTTCTTCAGTTACTGAATGCCTCTGTCACTAAACTCCACTCCAAAGGGAGAAAGAGTTTATCCATGTCAACTACATCCATTGCCTCTCACAGACAACACTTGAATCACTCACACTTGCAATTAGGATGAGCTAGTGAAGCAGTCGGGCCTCTGTAGTGGGGTCCAATGTTGGATCTTAACCTGACCAGAAAGGTGATTCATGCATGGAGGTATGAGTCTTTTGGGGTTTCACTGAGGTGTCATGGAGGATGTGATGCTGGAGGTTTTGGAGGTTAGCCACTGGAAAGAATTGTGAGGTGGAAGATGCTATGAGGGCATCATATACACCATGTAATGGCCTGGTGAAGCTAAGTTGTGCTGTCATGCAAGTATTTTTGGAAGTAAAGCAAGCAACTTGGTAGATGTAGATACTGGTGCTTTCATTATGTTCCAGTGCCCAGATCAAACTTTTAGGCTGCCCAGAACATGACAGGCTTCCATTTCTTGACAAATGGGTGCAATGTTTAGCTGTTCTGCCTGGTAAAGCAGAAGTGTGCATGCACAAATCCACCATGAGAAATCCCCCATAGTGGTGGACAGTTTATGGTGATATTTTGGTGGCACTACGGATGGAGAAATCATTGAGGAAGATGGCAACTTTTTGGATAATAATTGCTCTAGTGTGATGAGGTTTCTGCATGGGAGAGTTGGACAAGGACTCACTAGGCATCTCATGCATGTTAAATCGAGTTGGATCAGGCTCGAGTTTGACCAATAAAATTACATGATTCACTGATAATAATAATGTAATACTAAGACTAAAAAGCAACAATATGTTGCAATGCATGATGAATTAATTTGGGTCAGATATTTCGCTCCCAAACAAATCTTGGAATTTGAGTGATTGTGACCTCCAATATTCAGTCTTTTGTTTTTCATGCAATTTTTCTCAATATCAGAAAAAGGATCTATCAACTGCGATGGGCTAAGAACTAAGTAATTAATGATAAATCACAAGGAATCTGATCATAGAACAATTAAGTAGTTAAATAGCAGGAAAACAGGATTTGCAAGTGAAGTGAAACTTGAACCTGTTGAGCGCGCTTTGAGGAATCTGATGGCACTGCTGCTGTGTATCTGATTGCCTTGTTAGCAAATTGGAAGCCCTGGAAAGTGACTTTTGAGGACAGGTACTTACAGACAATGCACTACCAAAGCCCCAACCAAGACCAAATCCCACTCGGCAGCCTCAGCCTTCTCATATGAAATTTTGGCAATATCAAATAAGATACCAAGCAAGCGATGCTGACCTATTCCCAGGACAAAGATATGCAGGGGCATCCCTGTAGATATTTGAAAACGAAAAAAATCCATGGATTAATAGTTGTACGAAGAACAAGAACACCTGACCTAAGTTAAAAGAGGTATACATGGGCCTGAAATACTGAAAAAGGGGTGGCGTGGTGATTCATCTTCCACTACTGTGAGATTTGGTAAGAATTCATTTCTGTGGCCTTAATTCTACAAAGAGAGAGATTATTTTTGTGACTTAAATTTGATCATCCAGATTGCCAAGGAGCTACTTTATCATCCATCACATTCAGAGTTTATCCTGACAGGGATAGATAATATACTATAACTATAGAATAAAAATTTATGTAGAAACAACATAAAGAATGTGGATGATCATGTTTGATTATCTATCATTTAAGGTGCCTCTCAAGTATAATACGATACATGCATCCAGCAACACTAGCTTGGTCACACAAAACAAATTCCAGTAGCAAACTGTTCCCCACTATCAGAATATAAGTACATAATCGGGATGCCTCAAGAATATATGACGCTGAATCCTCTTTGTCATTTGGGAAGAAAAGAGTGTGCAGCTTGAGTTGAACTAGAGAGTAAAAGAAAGAATATTGGGCCTCTTAGTAGGTGCAGCAGAGCACTAAAAGAATGTTCTCTCTCACGGTGCAGGGAACAAAGAGGTGCAGTTGATTCAAGTTTGTGTGTGAGTGGGTGTAAACCGACTAATTTCTGTTAATTTGACATGATGATGACCTATGGCACATCAAAGTTGATGTATTTAGTATTTGGTTAGATTGATTCTGATCATGTGTATCACATAAGTAATGTAACAATTGTTCTCATATCTGTCATTGTGTAAAGACTCCACCTCTAACCAGTTCTAGAATCTTACAGAAACATGCACCCGTAGGAATAAAAGGCAAATTACTGCTCCTTGGTTTACTATCAAGCATCTTTACAAAATAATTCACAAAATTGCCTGCTTGCCCTGCAAAACTTGACCTCTCTATCTGACTAACCAGTACTGCTTTCCTGGTGAACTGTGGGTATGTGCTTGTTCCTATTATGGCTAACTGGATTCTTGTATTGCTATAACTTAGTTGTTGGTATACTACGATTGTTACCCTTTCATTGGAGATGATTTTCAATTATTTTACTGTGCAAAGTATTAACAGTCTTTTGTCTGCAGAGAAAAGGTTCTGGCTTTCCCCATCTTAACTTTTTTATCTTTCTAACCTAATAGTCATTCTAGTTGACTATCCAACATCTCAATTTTTTAACAAACTCTGCTCTAGTTCAGCTATAACTCGGGCGACTATTTCCTCCAGTCTACTGCTACAGCACCATTTCCAGCTACAGAAATCATATTTAATTAATTTATTTTAAATCATATTTTATGCCTGAATAATTGATAACTAGAATGACTATCAACATATTAAATGTTTCTTCTTTTGGAAGACATATTGACAGGCATAAAGCATATTACTTTTGCCATCCCTTCTCTTCATCCTAGATCTAAAATCTGCGAAGCGTTTCTTGAAGACCATAAAATGTGAATAAATATTTTAAACTGCTTTAGAATTTTGAAGCTAGTATTTTTCAGTAATCATTCATTGTTTAGAATTTTGAATTTTGTCTCGTGCTCCCCACCATTTTTTTTGCTGCTCTCTTTCGGATACTAAATTTAGCTAACATAAAAAAATAGCATTAATCCTTGAATGGGTGATGTAGAAAGATCCTAAGCTTCTATAGCAATTACATTTATCATCATACTTTTCGGATGATGATCTCTAATGAATAACTTACTACCCTTCGTAAGGTGATAATCAATTCTCTTCCAAGATTAACTTAATAATTTTTACCCATGCAGTGCCTTTATACTCATTCTAGAATACGACATGCATCTTTAACCTTTGCTGCCTCCTTAGAAATGTCACTAGCAATCTTTGTGGAATGAGAAACAAAATGTCTGCATCTTTAACGAATGTGATAGTTAGAAGTGATGAAATAATTATCATTAGTGGTACGAAAAAAATATAGAGGAAGATCTAAAAGACCTTAATAGAAACTATAAATAAAGATCCAAATACTCTTAACTTAATTAAACATATAGTTTTTTATAGATCGCGATGGCGGCGACAAAAGATTATGTAGTTGATCCCAAATAATTGAGGCTTACAACTTTATTGTTGTTGTTGTAAGTTTATTTTTACTTTACTAGTTAAAACTTGGGCTCATAAGATAGTTAATAAAATTTTCTCCTATATGATGTAATAGGGAGAGTATCATCGACCAATCACCATCCAACATGTGGCTGCCGATGTGATAGCTTAGTCAACCTCGAGGGTAAAACTTGTCTCCCCTTTGTCTGCCCATGTGGACGTGAGTCTAAAACAGGCAATTGTGGACTACCTCTTCCCTTATTGCTTATGTGGACAAAGGGACAAAGATAGGTTGTTAGAGATGATTAAGGGCTGTCTCCCAACAGAATATTCTGCCCCTCTACTGACAGGTATAAAAACTCACTTTTTATACCACTCGTGATGGCGCTCACTCACCGAGGGGTTACTAACTTGGGTGTCGGAGCGATCGAGTCGGGAAACCTCTCCCGACCCTAGTCTTCACGTAGGTGGCACCCTGGGAACTCAGCGTTTCCACCTCGCAGGCACCTCGGCCATACTTCGGACATCCCTGCACACATGGGTCAGAACCACATCGAGCTAACCACAATGCCAACATCATATTCCTATAACATAATATAACATAATGGATCATGAATCTCCTTTGCTTTGTTGGAGCATGGCCAAGTGTTTATAACAAGCAAAAGCTGAAGATATCGACCATAAAATGGGTAAACTAAGTGTATATATGTGGAAGGGTGAAGACGAGATAATTTACACTATGAACAAGGAAGGATCTAGAGTTTTCTTTTCAATGACAAAAAAACTCACCTGTGACACTAAAAACTCTAAGATCAATAGTCCAATGTATTTTCAAGTACTTCCTCCCGCATATCTTTTCCTTTCCTTTTTATCCATACTCTTTGTTTTCCTGAAATCGATCGAGGCCCTCTGAGAAAAGAAACAAGTCCTGCTAACTTAATTCATCAGATTGCACAACCCAAGATCTTTCCCCAGGCTATACATCTAAACCCTATTAATCGACACTACGTAGCACATCAACCTCAAAAGCCTAAAATCTGAATCATTAAGATGACAAGAGAACACCTCCCGATCACCCAATTCTCTCATCAATTACTTTTGTTAGTTGCTCTCAGGAAGCTCTTCTTTCCACCTTGCCATGGTACCCCAATTCAAGCAGAAACCCACTTTTTCAACTATCTGCAAAAAGATCAAATGCAAGAAAAGGAACAAGAAGGAGAAGAAAATTACCTCCGCAACCCCATTCAACTCCAAACCCACATCCAACGCCGAATGCTGAGACAGAAAACGATGGCCAAGAATTCCTACCAAGCCTAACGCCGACGCCATCGAAGCCACCGAGAACCAATACTCCTTGCGGGCAAATCGACCTCTAAGCCTCGCTGCGAAAGGGGAGGGGGTTTCGCGTGACGGAGTCGAGGGCGGCAAGGAGGCGGATATGCGTTCTTAGTCGTGCGAGGCAGTGGCCGGTCACCAACGGTGCGAGAGTTGGGTTCGATCGGGTGTAACCCCGACGCGACTGACCGAATTAGCTCAAAATCGTGCGCCGAACACGAACCTGAATCGGCTCGGCAGATTTCCTTTACTCTTTCTCGTCGAAAACTCTTTATCATGATATATACTACTCCTAACCATTACTAATCACTTCCAGCTCAACGAATAGTTAGTGTTATCATATTGCATTGTCGTTCGAGAAAAGGGATCGAATTGGCTTCAATTTCCATAGTTGGGTTCGATCGGGTGTAACCCCGACGCAACTAAGTACCGAATTAGCTCAAATTTGTACGCCCAACACGAACCTGAATCGGTTCGATAGATTTCCTTTTACTGATGTATCGATCAGTACTCTTTCTCGTTGAAAACTCTTTATCATGATATATACTACTCCTAACCATTAGTAACCACTTTTAGCTCAACGAATAGTTAGTGTTATCATATTGCATTGTCGTTCGAGAAAACAGATCGAATTGGCTCCGATTTCCATAGTTGGGTTCGATCGGGTGTAACCTCGACGTGATTAAGTATCAAATTAGCTCAAATTTATGCGCCCAACATGAACCTGAATCGGCTCGGTAGATTTCTTTTTGTTGATGTGTCAGTCATGATATGTACTCTTTCTCGTTGAAAACTCGGATATATACTTCTCCTAATCAGTAGTAACCACTACCAGCTCAATGAATAGTTGGTGTTGTTGTATTGCATTGTGGTTCGAGAAAAGGGATCGAATTGGCTCCAATTTCCAGAGTTGGGTTCGATCGGGTGTAACCCGACGTGACTAAGTACCAAATTAGCGCAAATTCGTGCGCCCAACACAAACCTGAATCGGTTCGACAGATTTATTTTTGCTGATGTGTCAATCATGATATGTACTCTTTCTCATCGAAAATTTCTTATCATGATATGTACTACTCCTAACCAGTAGTAACCACTTCTCAATGAATAGTTGGTATTGTCATATTGCATTGTGATGATATTGCATTATCGTTCGAGAAAAGGGATCGAATTGGCTCCAATTTTCAAAGTTGGGTTCGATCGAGTGTAACCCAATGTAATTGAGTACCAAATTAGCTCAAATTTGTGTGCCCAACACTAACGCTCGATAGATTTACTTTTACTGATGTGTTAGTCATGACATGTATTCTTTCTCATCCAAAACTCATTATCATGATATGTACTACTCCTAACTAGTAGTAACCACTTCCTTCGAGAAAAGGGATCGAATTGGCTCAGGTTTCCTTTACATTTCACGAATCATCAAACTCTAGAAATGTCCATAGAGTTTAACATACCATATCTAACGTAATTACACATGCTTAATGTTACATTTTAAGTCAAATTATGATCGTCCAAAACAGCATGGGATAGGTTCGAAGCTAATCCAATTTAGAGTCTATTTTAGATCAATGTATCAAATAATTAGAGGAATTGTTAAGTCAAATTATGATTGATTGTGATGAGTTGTGTTTGGAACCAATTGAGATTCACTTTTGAGTCCATCTAGCTATAAGCTTCAATCTAAGATATTGAAAAAATTATATTGGGATTGTAAGTATAAAAATTATAATCATATTATTATTATAAAAAAAATTAATAATAAAATATAAAATTAAATAATAATATATTAAATTTATGATACATATTTCTTGATATAATTCAAAATATATTTATTATGATTTACAAATGCATCATCCGATTTGAAGGAAGCGATTTACAATAAGAACTAGAATCTCATTTCCTCTCTTTTTATTTTTTTCCTATTCTTATTATAACTATAAAAATAAAATATAGACCGAGGAAAAATAAGAGTATATCTATAATTTTTCTTCTATATATAATTAATAATAAAAAGAATTATTTATTTATAGATGAAAAAAAAAATTTAAGATAAGCAATTAGAATAATCTCTCTCGTCATTCTAATAAAAAATCATATCATAATTAATTTTTTTTTATTGATCGATAACTTAAATCAGAATTTAATAATATATCTTGTCCAATTAAATATTATCACATGATTTAATAGGAGTGTTCAATGAACTCGATGATTGTTGAATTATAGCTATAATAAATATAAAAAAATAATAATTATGTATAACATTCAATCATTAATAAATTCATAAGATCATACATCAAATCATAGTAACGATGATGTCGAACCAATTTGATCATCAAAACTGTGTGTGATTTACTCGACATCCTCTCCGGTGCCGCATTGCTTATATTATGAGATTGGTTCTGTCTAACACACCAACCATGGGTGCAACGTATCGTCTACGTGTCATGCCCCCGCCTATCATAAATCAACCACGTCTTAGCTTATGCAGCTGCATCAACATTGATTGCATATCACGTCTCCTCCACTTTCGTATATATATATATAAAAGCAACTATACAAAAATTAAAAGAAAAGAACATCTTCCACGTCTCCTTCCAACTAAGTGCCACCTTTAATCTTATCCACCTCTTCCTCTCTCGGCTGTCGTTCTCCTTCGGACAGCTCAGCGATTTTCATCTCGCTCACCTGCCAAGGTGTCTGTTCGTGTAAACAACTTTATGCCGTGGTCTTGGGACCGACACGGCTTGTTTCGAGTCCGAATGGTGGGGATCGGCTCAAGGTCTCTCGGGGTTACTGCTGTGGGCGGTCGTGCAGATCGGATCACGTCGAGGCTCATTGGGATGTCCCGCGTGGTAGGGTCCCTCTCCTCGGTGTTAAATAGGAAGTAGCTCCGTCTTCGTACCTGCATGCAGGTCGGGTCGAAGCTCGACCCGACTCCTCCAACGATCAAGTTAGATGATGTGAAGAGATCTTTTTTTGTGTGTGTTCGGTCCCCCCTTGCTCCTCTCAGGAGCGGGGTTTTTATATGGTGACTTACTGTGTCCGATGTGCTTGTTTTGCAGAGAGCAAGGTCGTACTCCTAGCCACGTCTGACAGTAGTGTTGGCGTGGTGTGAAGGATTGGGCCTGAGCAGGACGTTAATGCGCCTCGGCCGTCGCTTCGGTCCGTTTGACCAAGTGCTGTCGGGTCGATCGAGGTGTGAGGCGTCATCTGGGGCATGTGACGTCAGCCCGAGTCTTGTAGTCATTATTATCCTCGTAAGTGTCCCATATATAATCTCACATGGCATGATTTCCACATAAATCCATATTTATTTATAGTATTTTTTATTTTATTTTATTACAAAAAGAAGGGAAAATATTAATTAAACGGAGTCTGACCAAACTTTCAAGTCAAAACAGCCAACCAAGGGATAACTCAATAACAATCCGACCTCTTTTTTCCGCCTTATTATCCACGTCATTTCTTATCATTACCGACCATATTTACATGTGTTGCCCCTCCTCCGGTTTATCTAATGCCTATTATTGCTATTATCAAAAATGCTTTTCGTACTCGACGAAAAACACTTTCGTGTATACCAGCGTCATGATTTGCTACCATCAAGGAGCCTACATGATCATCTAAGGTACGTTTGTGAGTACGAGTAGATTAGCAGGGAAGAGTATAACTGACCTCCCTCGCATAACGCTAAGCTTCGAAATCTCTATAACTAAAATCAACGTAAAGCCGTCATCATCAATCTCTCTCTCTCTCTCTCTCCAGCGAATTGAACTCGAGACGCATCGCCATGAGCTGGTGGTGGGCCGGCGCCATCGGCGCCGCGAAGAAGAAGACGACGGGGGATGACGCCGACGCTCCCGCCGCCAGGTACCAGAGCGTGGCCCTCGTCGTCGGCGCCACTGGCATCGTGGGTTCCAGCCTCTATGATATCCTCCCCCTCGCAGACACCCCCGGCGGTCCATGGAAGGTATACGGCGTCTCCCGCCGACCCCCGCGCCCCTCTCTTCTCTCCCCCAACATCGCAGACGGTGTAGGTCTTCCCGTCGTGCACGTTCCGTGCGACGTCGCCGACCCCGCTGACGCCCTCGCCAAGCTTTCCCCGCTTGGCGACGTTACCCACATCTTCTACGCCGCTTGGTGTCGCCGATCCACGGCGGCGGAGACCCGAGCTACTAACGCCGCCATGCTCCGCAACGTCCTTGACGCTGTCCTCCCTGCCGCCCCCAACCTCCAGCACGTCTGCCTTCAGACCGGCCGCAACCACTACCTTGGCCCCTACGGACCAGCCGGCGGAGTTGTCGCTGAGGTGGGGCCGCGCCACGATCCACCCCACGACCCTCCCTTCCCCGAGAACACCCCCCGCCTTGCCATCCCCAACTTCTATTACGAACTCGAGGACGTCCTGCTCGAGGAATTGGCCAAGAAAGAGCGCGCCGTCACATGGTCCGTTCACCGCCCCACCACCATCTTCGGCTTCTCCCCCTGCAGCCTTATGAACCTGGTATGCTCACTGTGCGTCTACGCCTCAATCTGCCGCAAGGAGGGCGTGCCCCTCCGCTGGTTCGGCAGCGAGGAGGCGTGGTACGGGTTCAGCGACGCGTCGGACGCCGACCTTGTCGCCGAGCACCAGATCTGGGCCGCCGTCGACCCCTACGCCAAGAACGAAGCGTTCAATTGCAGCAACGGCGACGTGTTCAAGTGGAAGCACCTCTGGCCGGTGCTCGCGGAGCAGTTCGGCGTCCCGGCGGTTGGCTACACGGGCTACGACGGTCGGTTCAAGCTGGAGGATGCGATGAAGGGGAAGGAAGCCGTGTGGGAGGACATCGTGCGGGAGAACGAGCTCGTGCCGACGGCCTTGGACGAGGTCGGGCACTGGTGGTACGCTGATGCCGTGCTCGGCTTGGAGTTTGAGCACCTTGACAACATGAACAAGAGCAAGGAGCACGGGTTCTTGGGATTCCGGAACTCGGTAACTTCCTTCAACACTTGGATCGACAAGCTGAGGGCTTACAAGGTCGTTCCCTGATGCCTCTTTTACTTGTGCTTGCTATAATGTTCTCTTTCCCCTCTATACACTGTGATTTGCCAGTACTTCCATCTCTTGCTAGTTCGTCATCTACTTCTTGCACTTGTTTGTTGTTGTGCCATGGGAAGCTTGTAGTATGAATAATGTATCACTACAAATGAAATGATTCAAACTGAGTCCACAATAAAATTGGCAATCTGCTTTAAAGGACTGTGTTTGTTTTTATTATATATATTCTGAAGAAAAATTATGGTTTGCAGCATTCATTAGAACATGCATTTGGAGATATTTACATTGCACAAACACTGGAATTCTTTTCATGGTTATAGAGAAGTTAATCTGTTCTTCTCTGAGGATGAATATGAGGAAAGATAGTTTGTCTTTATCAGTTGAAATCCAGTTTCTTAACACAAGTACCTACATCTGAGCATATTCTACATCTGGAAGCATATTCTACTTTTATTTTAATTTATTCATTCAATCTTTGTTTTTTTCTTGAATGGATCCACACACTTTCCTGTTGTTCCAACATTAAACCATTCTTGTCAGAACATTAAACCCCATTATTCCTACTATGTATGTTCTTCCTGCTACAAGACTGAATCCTTGTAAGTTCATCATGTCTTGACTGGGGATCTAACAACCCCTTGCACTGTTAGCAGAACTGGTCATCTCTAGTATATTGTTGAAGGATTGTTGAGTATTCAAATCAAGGATTGGTGAGCAAGGTATTGCCACATACCTTGCCACTGAAAACAAATATTTGGTCTGGACATGTCTGCATATTTTAGGACTGGAGGTATCAAAAGAAGAGAAAACAATTTCAGGTCAGAAGTCCTGCATACAGATATGAATTTTCATTGGTTTTTTATGTGGAAAAGGGCATATCCAGCTAGAACTGGTGTATGTGGTTCCTAATTTTTAAGAACCACTCTTTCCTCTCTACTTGTTAGCCTTTTATACTGCTCTTGTATTGATGTGATAAATTGCTACAGGATTTCAGACTGACTAATGTTTTCCAACAATTCAGCCTTAATTATGTATGTGAATAAATTTTGATAAACAGGAAGAAAGTGAACCTTACTATGTTGCCATCCATCTTTAGCAATTTTGCTGCACTCATATCTTGGCCAGAGAGAAGGAAATATTCTCCAAATTATAATAGACATGCACATGCTTTTGTTGCAAAGATATGAGACAACTGATCATCCAACATTTGGTGAGTACATCATGCAGTTCAATAAAAGCCACTCCTATTCATGAAATATTGTCAACCATGTTTACATGAGAGATATTTGGGAGCCAAAAAATTTCCTAACATGACCTAACTAACTAATGAGTTATAGAATCTAATATTTTAGATATATAGAATCTAATATTATATATTTTAATATTTTAATCATATGAGCCGGTGGATATCCGAGTCTAATGAGTTAACAGACTAATAACTTAGTTTCATCTAAATTATTAATAAAAATATTAAAATTAAAATTAATATAATACACTTATCGAACCCTTATAAATTAATTTTATTTCTAAAAAATGACTCGATTCTGGTAAAGCAAATTAAACTATGGCAACGTGTTCTGAACTGCTACAGCACAGTTGGACTGAAAGATTCGTAATGCACACATCTTAAAGTATCATTTGATATAACGGATACAACGCCAGCCTAACGTACGATTTCAATGGTACGATTGTTTTATCTACCCATTGGACCTCCTATCTTCGTACGATTTCAATCGAACGGCTCCAGATCTTCCTCGATCTGGAGGAAGAAGCTCTCCACTCTTATCTCCACTCGCCTCGGTTCACGCTCCCTCCATTCGGATCCTCTCGTTTCCCCCAAACCCTCGCTTCGGTGTGTACCGGAGATCCGACCATGGCGGCGTCGATCGGCTTCCTCCCCGCATTCACCATCGGCGACGGGGCGTCTGCCGCCGCGCTCCCCCGCCGGGCTGTGCTTCTCCCCAGCTTCGCGCCGCCAAGAAGGTGGGCGGTCGCCGCGGGTTCGCACGCGGCCGTGGAGGCGGCGCCGGATGCGACGGGGAAGCGGCGACCGAGGGGCATCACCAAGCCAAGGCCAGTGTCCCCCGAGCTCCAGGCGGTGGTGGGCGAGGCGGAGATCCCGCGGACGCAAGCCCTCAAGAAGATATGGGCTTACATCAAGGAGAACAATCTTCAGGTCCTCTTTTATCCTTCACTTATGATCGTTGTCATCTGGAAGATATTTGAACCGTTTGCTATTATTTCTTGTTCACATGTTATAAGAGGCAATACCTTCATTCAGAACTTACTGTCACGAACGGTGCGCACCCACAACAACTTCGTTCAACGAACCATTCGTCGCTTTTGTTTACATGTATAGATGCTTGACTGCATGTTTTGCCTTGATTTTATATTCTTTTGCTTGTAAAAATATAAGTTCGAATAGGTTGCAGCACTATAGTACGATCGCTCACCACACCGAGCAAAACAACTCAAAATGGCTTCATTTTCGTGTGCCACGGACTGTTTTCTGTAGTTCGTTATCGCACGCGAAACGTCAGCCATCTCGGCACCCTGGAACGCATCATAGGGGATGGGGCTTCGGTATAGTGTTGAGCGTTGAACAATCTTTACAAGTTCGTATGTTTTCTTGATGGGAACTTGCTTTCGCGCCCGACACCCAGTGAGCAACTGTTTGTGGACTTGCAGTTGTTCGTTCAACCCTCTAAAGTCCTTGTTTTTCTCTTTTCTTTGTTTTCTCTCCTGCACACAAGGTGCTCGCTGAATTGCTTGTAAAGCTTCTTTCTTCGCGAGACGTTGGGACTTGTCCGTCGCTTGTTCTTTGAACTAATCAACTTTCTCTTTTACAAGTCCTTCGGGACCAGAGTGAGGTTGCAAATTGATTGACCTTTGCGGACGCATATCGCAAGGACGCGTCAAGACTTAGGCAATCCCAGCTAAGTCCGAGAAGTTGGCGCAAGGGTGCTTCGCGACTTAGGCAACTCAAGCTAAGTTCGCGTCTTGACCACAAGGGTGTCTCATGACTTAGACAATTCCAGCTAAGTTCGTGACATTACGGACTCAGGAGTTTGATTTATGTTTCTATAATTTCTTGGGGGATGTGTTGTCTGTTCATTCTCAAATTGTAATTAGTATCCAACGACGATCACTGTCATCGAAGCATTTGTACTAAAAACATGGTATGTTGGTTTTAAAAGAGGAGTCTTTTACAGCATGAGATTCATGAATCTGTTGTCCTTTGAGAGGACACCTGATGGGGCTTGCCCTAAAACTAGTGTATGAGAAGATTTATGATGTTGATTTTTATAATCTTGAATGAACATAGCACGATACCGGTGAACATATATACTTGCTTAAGGTTGATGGGTCCTAAAGATATATGCAAGTTTTAAGGATAGTAGAGAACCCATTGAGGCATGCCGGAGTTATAGGTGACAAAATTAACACAAGTTTGCTTTTTTCTTTTTACAAGCCCATAATTATCGATGTGAGGTTATGAACCAATAATCCAGTCATTCCTTCTTTTGCTTGCACCGTTAGAATTTCTGGCTTTTATATCCTCTCTCATTTGGCCTACACCTGTTCTTCCATTATTGTTGTCATGATTATTAAGTTCCCTTCTTAGTTATCTAATACCCTTCTTTCATCCTTGTGTATCTGTTAACAATGTAGCCTTTTGTAGTCAAACCATCATCTTGATTTATGTAACCTGCATAAGACTTTTCTTGTTTTAATATTTGCATTTATGAAGTTGGTCATGAGTATAACCTACTGCAATGCCCGTCTCATGATCTCATCCTAGATTGATGTAAACTGCACCTCTGGCTTTTAGCCTTTTCTTCGTTTTGTTTGACTTCCAGGTTCCCTTACTGGACAAAGTTCTAGTGTTGTTACTTTCACAGCGCTTTAACTGATGATATTGATAATCTTCTAATAGATACTTTGAGAACATCCTTGAAGTTCTACTACAATAATACTTTGAGCAGCCTTTTAATTCACAATATGACAAGATACTTTTTCCGAACTCTGTGCCAATTTATCATATTGCATTTTGTTGGCTAAATTTCGTTTTTTAAAAGTATTGAATTTCTGTGATCATATGTTTTCTCCGTACTCTGAACATATACATATTCATGCATCTTAGCCTATGTTGGATGCACACTTGCACATGTACTATCCTGTGATTTGACAATCTGGCCTTTGCCTCATATTACCATGGTATGTTAACTTCCATTCCTTTTGTCAAAATAAAAACAATGTAGGCAATAGATTCGACACTAATATTTTACTAATCCATGTAATCCTTTATGATGATACTTTTTTAATATGCTTCTATCATGTACTGTTTGAGATATAATCCTGCATTATATTGGTTGAATACTGGCGAAGCGTCCCGAGGATATGTAGGTGGACACTTCAAACTGTTTGCTGTCATGCTTGTTTGTTGGATACCAATGGTTGTCATGTGCTTTCTGGAAAACATTTCACTTTATGTACTGGTGATACTTTGAATAAATCATTTAAGTCAGTATGAACATATCTATGTTGGGCATTGCTTCTCCTAACCAGGTCTTTTATGATCGACAAAGGTATATTCTTTTACTCTTAATTTGTATATTTATTCGTGATCATATCCATTCCAACCCATTGTCCATTCTACATTGCAATTTGAAGGAACATGTTGAAATGTGTTTTTTTTTCTGCATTTGTGTGTATAACTGCATGAGTATGCTGTGAAAAGTATATTTGATGTCTTAAAGAATGTATTTTGAAGTTTGGAGAATTGAAAACAGGATAATTGTGAAACACATCCATCAGTACCAGCAACCTAACAGAACATACACTTCATGTCGGTATTTCTTGGAAATGTAAACCAATGTTACTGCTGGAAGCAACTTGTTGTCCCTAAATTTCTACATTGTGAATCGTTTTGAGAATCTCAGTCTTAAGTGACTTCAACTACTGAACAGTTGCTGTAAAATCCTTTCTGCAGGATCCAGAAAACAAGCGGATAGTAGTGTGCGATGAGAAGCTAAAGAAGGTGTTCGGAGGAAGGGATCGTGTTGGTTTCTTGGAGATCTCAGGACTGCTTAATCCTCACTTTGCAAAGTGAAATCTTCTGTGGGCATGAACATCTCCATATTTAACAATATGTTATAATCTTGACATCGCGATGCTGTGCTGCTTAGCATCAGCTTCTTGATTGATCTAGAAAAGACAGCTTAATGTTTTGCCCTTTATCTGCTATAGATTTGTAGACACGAACTTGTAGTGGTTGAACTATTTGTCTCTCGTCTTTACTTTTTTTTATGTTTTCTTATTCCCCATTTGAGCTACTAAAGTAGCCGAACTGAGTCTAACAGTTTGGCGATGGCGATTCCAAATCGAGCCAGAATTAAATTGTTCTGATCAATGGTGATTCTGATTCCGTTCTAAATTTGAAACTTAAATGTCTTTACTGATATATTCGATGTGTATTTATATTGAAATACCTATACTTGGAACTCATGAGTAGTATATTGAAATACCTATACTTGGAACTCATGAGTAGTGCTGGTATATTCGATGTGTGTTGTGGGTTGTGGAATTCGAAGGAGCAAAACCTCAACCAACCCGGTCCGGTCGACCTAAACGATCGAACCATACCACGTCTGTTGGTAGCTGAATTAGGCCAAAAATAAAATTTTTGGAGTTTATGAAGTATCTCTCATGATCTTATTATTATGGTATATAGGATTTTGTTATTGTTGTGGTATATATGATGGCATGAGGATGAAGATGGCCACATAACCATTCCAGATCAATCAATTAATTGTTAGTAAAAGATAAGACATCCCTACCGTCCATCAGATTTTTGCACGAATCTTAAAAACACTAATCAGAGAATGCAAGTACAGAGAGAGCTTCAAAGAGAGAAAAAAAATGGAGATTAGCTTAAAACAGTTCAAAGGTACTCATCAGTTACATCATCCTCATGTACAGAGCCATTCGTGTCGATCCCATCCCCACTTCTGCTCTTTGGTTTCGACAGCTTACCGGAGGGTTTGTTCTTCGTTTGAGGTTTTCGGCCCTTCTCCGCCTGCAACTCCATCCCTTTTGCCGACGGCTTCCGCTTCCGCTTCATTCCTGCAGTCCCAACTGCCTCTTCGGGCGTCGAATTACCTACCACTGCATAAGAAACAATCACACTTGACTCAGAACAACAGTTGTTTCATTCAGTCTCATCATTCCGAAATTTGATTACTAAATTGTGGATTGAGTATAGTTCTTGTTCCTACCACTGCATAAGAAACAATCACACTTGACTCAGAACAACAGTTGTTTCATTCAGTCTCATCATTCCGAAATTTGATTACTAAATTGTGGATTGAGTATAGTTCTTGTTCCGATTGCAACATTGTTCAGTCAGACCAGATTCAACTACATGTAATTTTTTTAAAAAAATTACCATCTTGTCTCCATAAGAACTTAAGATATAAAGGGAAAAAAATACCCCACCTAAATCATAATTTATACCTAGCAGATGGAGAGAGATGCATTCATTTATTGGGGCTACTAGATGAGAAAAGAACCTGCGACTAAAGGATATTATTACCTTCGAGCGGGCTTGAAGCAGGAAGAATGGCCTGACCATTCTGTGCTGCTTCCACTGAAAACGGTGAACCAGTATGATTGCTGTCCCCTAACTTCAATGAACTCCCAAGACACTTGTCTTGTTGTTCAGGAACATCTGGCAAAGGGACTGCAGGCAAGAAGCACAGTTCTTCCTGTGATGCATCCGAGTCGCTGAACGCTGAATCTTTCTCCACTGTTAAAATGTCAACCTCCTCATCTTGATTAATCACCAACTCTTTCACCTGCAAATAAGCATTTTCAGGCGCATCTAATCATAACAGGTTAACACACCAATCAAGGTGGGTGTTTTGTACCTTCTCTGATTCAGGCATTAGATCAAATTCGTCCTCTCTCTCGACATACTCTTCATTCTCTTCAAGTTCTTTAAAATCAGGAGCAAATGCACTCCAGTTCTCTGTGTAGTCTTTGGCCCATATATACACCAAGCCAGCAACCGAAACCGAGACGACCAAGGGGCGAAGAGGGTGCCAAGCAAGATCAATAAGAGCTTCTTTAGGGCCTTCAAGGATTTTCACAAGATGGCCGGCCCTATCCCAAATGTACAGCTTGTGCTCCCCTTTGCTAGCAGAAGCACCTATGACCCATTCACCATCACCACTAAAACAAGGTGCTTTCCATTGTATCTTTGTCACAGCATCCTGGAACTCTCGAGATAAGCGCAGACACTTGGTGCCTACTTCTTTCAACTTCTCTATCCTGGGAAATTTATCGTCAGTGTCACTCATTATTTCAAGTTCCTTTGCAGCACCCTTTGTTGGTAGAAGGTTCTCATAGACTCTAATGACTCGATCATTAGAATTTGTGAGCAGATACTGCCCGTTCCTACTAAAAACAATATCTTTGACAACAGAACCCCCAGGAATAGGTATTAGTGCATTTACCCTAATGTTCTTTGAATCAACAATTAGTATCTCCCCTTTGGAGTTTCCCAGGTAGATCAGATCTCCATGTTTGTCAAAAGTTGCTGCAGTTGGAGTGAAAGGCAGCGAACCATCAGAAAATTTATTGCGAGGATGAGAAACAGAATTTCCATTTGTATTATCCGTTCCTGAAACGGGCAGAACAGTGGAGCTTCCATTGTTCAGATCAACAAGAATAGGCGCAGAAGAAAGGGGACAAGCCAAGCAGAGCGACGGAGTGCAAGATCCTGGGTGAAGGCGTGCATGTAGAGTAGTTTGCTGCAATGTTATATGTGTGATCTTCTCCCCATTCATGACATTCCAAAGTGTCAACGACTTGTCAGTAGCAGAAGCAAGTAAATAGTGACCATACTTGGACCAGCAAACACTTGTAATAGGTGCTACACAAGCTTTATCACGAAGCTCCTTGGCAACCCCCCTAGTCTCGAAGTCCCAAATGACACAGCTCCCGTTGGCACAGCCAGCTAAACCAGACAAACAGGATGCATTCTTTTAGACCAAAAGTCACTAAAACCAAGTGCAAGATCTTGTTAACAATAATATATAAGCAAAATAAAAGATAAAATAAATCAACATGAAATATAAACTGCATGATTATAATAGAAACTTAAGGAAATAACTCAATCATCATATGTAAATTTCATTCAGGTGTGACATAGGAACCAACAAGGTACAAACAGCTAGGTGTTCATAAAATGAAAACGGTGGCAATAATGACATTGGAAGCACGGTCACAGTAAGTTATCTTCTGAAAGCAAGTACGGAGAGAAGAAAAAAGTAAAAGAAAATAAGCAAATGCAACCAACTATTGTCAGAATTCATTCTTCTCTTGTGTTTGCTTCTAGTAAATAAAAGGGGAATCATTTATCCACACAGGTTCCACCTAATATTTGTACTGTTTGTGGAAAGAATACAGCTGCTTAAATGCCTCACCATAAATCAGGTCCAAGAAGATCGTCTTACGAATCCTTGCATGAGCAATGACGCCGGCAGAAAGGTCAAACATAAAGTTGGGTCAATGAGGGAGGAATTTTGTGCCCAGAGAATGTTTCCCCTTTGTGATTGCTTAGAGTGGGTCATGAGATATGGATTCAGTCATTTATTATGCCTATGCTCTAGCAGTAGTTATATAACTCAAATAAAAATGAGCATGGGTGATGAAAGAGAGAGCATGAAAATTCCAATAAAAAATGCTCCTGCTACAAGAGAGAGAGAGAGAGAGAGAGAGCACGAATGAAGATCCTCTAAGTTTCAAGATATTCAGGCTAAGAAAGTTCAAAATTTGAACCTTGATGTGTACAATTTGGCATAATAAATCCACCAATAAAGGAGACTACCAGAAAAGAACATGAACATTTACACAAACAAGTAATCTTTGGTGAAACCAAAGAAGATGGTATGATTTGAAAGAGAGTCAGGCCACAAAAATTTGAATGATTGTGATGCCAAGAGAATTTGTTGATGAGCAAAGAGGCAAGTGGACATCCCAAGATGTTCAGAGAAGTCTGTTAAAGGCAAAGCAAAACATGGAAAGATTAGTTAAAAGGGACGAGTGAGAATCATTAAGCCGCCTGTTCCAACTTTCCATGAGCTAAGGTCACAACAAACACTAATATTCTCAGATGTTATAAAGAAAGGATGAAATGGTGGCACCACTTGGTGTCATGAGGGAAGGCAAACCAGAATTCTCAAATCATTCCAATCAAAATATGTTTTTTTATGAAAAATCCAACAGATGGCCAAAATTATACTTATTTCTCATTGCAACTATGCCATGCAGATGTAGCTGGAAAGGAACAGCTCGACACAAATTCACTTTTCATCCTATTAAAGTTACAACTCTTCTTCTATGAGACTATAAGCGCTAAATTAACAAATGAAACTAAACGAACAAAATGGGTCAATCCTCGGTTAATACTCGTGTATACTATCACTAGAATAAAAAAAAAAGAAACATAGTTTATCAAGGATCAATGACAGCATTAGCAGCAGAAAACCTTCCAGAATGTCAGATTTCTCACTCTCCCTCTTTTTCCCAAGTTTCATCTGAATAGACATAAACTAGGCTTGAGCTTAGTTGCCTTACTCAACAGACATTATTGTAGAATAAAAGAGGACAAAACCTTTGCTCATGACGAACAAAACATATGATTGTCTATTCGCTCCGTCAGAACTGTTTCCAACATATCAAAATCGGCTCTTTTACAAATTTATGCAATCGGAGGGAAAATGAGGTAATCGAAAAAGGAAAAAGTGGAAGACTGATGGTACCAGCAAGAAGAGTTCCCCGTCGATTGAAGGCGATACATTTCATGTTCCCATGCTGCAAAAACTCCTCGATTACTTCGGGGAAATCACCCTGCAACGGATCTTCACCCATCCAAACACCCAACACCACCCAAAAAATCAAATTTAGCTCTAGAAAAACCTCAAATTTCTTCAGATTAAAAGAAAAAACAAGAGAATCAGAAGAAAAAACGGATCTTTTATCTCAGAAAAAGAAGCAAAAGGAAGAATCTGGGTAAGAAAACCCACCGATTATTGGGGCATTCATGTCGTTCGGCCTTCGGAGCAAGGAAATAAACCGAAATCTCAGCAAACAGGGGTTCCCCTACCGCATCATCTCGAGGCGGACATTTCCCCTGCCCGATCGCACCGAACACAAGGGAGAAGAGAGCCCGGTCGAGGACGCTTGCTTCTACCAAAGAGGGGCGGATCGAAGCCGGAATCGAGCAGCGCTCCCCACGGAAGAACTCGAAAAGGCTCCCTGGATCGCCGGAATCACCGAACAAAAACCCTACCTTGCATAATTATTTGTGATTCCCATTAGCTTTTTATTACGAGTTTAACCCGATTTCGTCTTCCTCTCGGCGGAGCGTGGAAAGGATAAAAGACACAGAGAAGATCGATCACGACCGTCCATTTGATTACAGATTTGATCGGATGGCTAATGATCTTCCTGACGCCGTTTCGGCCTCCAAGAAAAGATTAATCCGAGCAGGAATGGGATGAGAGAAAGAGAGTGTGCGATGGGATTTTGTAATAGCCTTATATTTGACTGTATTATTAGGATAGATTAATAGGCAATTTTATCAAAAAAAAGCTCTCATTTTTATCGGATACTGTTCATCTATCGAGAATTTATGTCTTTTCGTGAATTGATAAGTATGTTCTTATTTTTTTTTATTATGTGATTTTTGGCAAGATTGAACTTAAGTTAAAGTGAATCGATCAGCTAATTTGATATTGTTGGAGTAGATTATTCTTCTCCCCCTTTTGTTAGAACATTAAATGTTTGATTTTATTTTTCAAATTTAAATTAATATTTTGATTTGATACTATCTGTTATGGAACTTAACGTTATGGTAGAAGAGGTGACACAGCTAGGTTTCATCTCGAAGATGCAGGGTCGCCTACACGAGTATTTGGTGATGTGACAGGAACCAAGTCGGGTCGGGGAGCACCTTACCGATCGGCTCGAGGTGGGCCTTCGATTGCTACTCCTCCCTGTTAAGAAAAGATCAATATCGGGAGAGAGATTCCTGACTTAACCCCTCCAAAGTTTAGTTGGAGGTGATATATTGGTGTTTAAGGTGTGCCCCTTTTGTCAGTGGGGAGGGAATTAACTTTTATATTTGCTTGTCAAAAAGTCAACCGTACGAGACTCGTTAATGATCTATGATACCTAGGGAGGCCAACCCATACTTTCTGCATGGCATGGACCAACCTACACGACTCCGTGTCGTGCGGCACCATCTTGCATCATCACGGATGGCTTGAGGTAGGGCAACGTCGTCTCGTATAGATCCAAGCAGTATTGGTACGATTTCCGTCACCCTCAGTTCCAAGGTGTTTTGCCAGCGTACATGTGCAACGTCAGCCATGAGGAGGTTGCCGTGCAAGTTGCGCCAAAATATGCCCGATCACTATCATTATTTTATGTCAAAAATCAAAGAGTAAGATTTGACCTACAAAATACAATGGAATCTATGCAATGCATCTAACATAATTAAAAGATATAAATCATAAATAATGTTGGAGTTGACTTGTCCTGATCTTTTTTCTCATGTCGAACGAGAAATAAATTATAATTAAGATTGTGGGATCAAAATAGTCTCGTATAGGTGTGAATTCCTTATGTCAAATCTTATTACAATTCATACATTAATCACCATTGGCTCTAACCAAAGAATAGAAGCACAATCTCTTTGGTGGATGTTGATGCTTACATCTAAGCCATGAATGATTTGTGGTTTGCTTGATCAACATGTATTTGTCTGCACCAAATCAAGCATAGCTTTCCACCAAATTAGAGAGATCTACAGATTTCAAATCTTTGCTTCAGAAATAGGAGAATAAATTCAATAAAAGATACCTACACTATATGCAGTCCAGAGTCTAGTTTTAGTACGAGAAGTTACTGATTCGTGTATCAGAGAAGACATCAGAGCTTCATGACATTTTCTCTTGGGTGAAGGTTGCTTCCTGTGACTTGGTTGCAAAACCTACACCATTGAATTGCCAGTGGAGAAGCTTTTCCGGACAGCCAAGGCAAGCCGAGAATGCAAAGAACTGCCCTGAAGGATGAGGTAGATGACAAATGACACGTATATCGCCAGGGCGGCACAGAGAATGGAAGTCATGAGGGAGCCATTCACTTCAGCAGAGAGGAAATTGAGGAGAAGGTAACCATTGATGCTTATCAGAAATGCCACTACCACCCAGGTAACAACCTGCATTGGAAAATACATGAAACATAAGAAGCATGGAGATCATTGATCTACAAAAACACTAAGTTCTTTGTTGTTGTTGTTGTTGTTTTCCTATTGAAATGTGAAGAACATTTTAAGAGATAGCTGTTCTGTGCCAAAAATGATCATCAAAGGAAAGTGCATCACCTGATACATGTATTCTGATGAGGGATCAATGCACTAACAATAAAAAAACAGTGAGAAATCACACACTGGCAAAGGAGTTAAGAGTCAATCATAGGCATGACTAACGCCCAAAGTTTCCAAGTTGAAAAGCTTAAACTTGTTTGATGTTTAAGACACATCAAGGAATTTTAGATCAGTCATTCACAAATAAGAATATAGATGTGAGACACTAAATGACATGGAAGTTGATGTGAGACATTAAGTACTGTAATGTATCCGATAAGCTAAGGCCAACATTTTTTTAAAATATCTATGTCTATTTCTGATTCTTTTCCTACTATAAATAGTTTTTTTTCTTTATGAAGAAAATTCTATTATGTTAAATGATGTACATCATGCCCTCGTGATCCTTTTCCTATCAGAAATATGGATAAAAAATATCTGTCTATTTCTAATTTTTTTCTATTACTTGTACAATAATGCACTAACTAATCGGATGATTCAACAAAGACCACTATATATAGTCTTAGGCCTCTCCCACTAGAAATGGCTCATAATACTTCAACATGCATCCGAGTTGATTCCACCGTTGGCAAACCCTACATTTGATGTTCCTAACATTAAATTTTCTGACCTGCTCTTTTTGCTTTTGTCTTTAATCAAAACATCATTATCATGATTGACGCATCGGGTTTTACACATAGTAATTAATTATCAGAAAAAGTAATGGAGCATCAAACATCTATTCTATTTACTCTTCATAGCTTTTATCCTTGGCAAGTTCCTCAATTTTTCCTTGCATCAATATGAACCATAAGCAGCAGATCTACACCAGAGAAGTTGCAAATAGAAAAGCAAAAACTAAATACTAAAGAATTGAAATTTTCAGATTATTAAGAAGATGATGAAACTTACTTCAGTAACACGGCCAATCCTGAAGGTTCCCATAACCTGTTCCTTTGAAACCAGTGTTAGGAGTGGAATTAGTGCAAATGGTATCTGAATTGCTTGAAGCACATTAAGCCACTCATTCAAAATATCCATGGTAGCTTCCCCGGTGTCGAAGAACAGAGCAACTACAATGGTGGGAACAATGGCACAGCTTCTGGTAATCAGTGCTCGAACCCACTTCTTCAACCGAAGATTCAGAAACCCCCCCATGATAAATTGTCCAGCATAAGTGCCTGCTATGGTGCTGCTCTGCCCAGATGCCAATAACCCAATTCCCCATATGTATAGGATAGGAAAGATCTTGCCACCATACTTCTCTTGCAAGAAGTTACCAGCATTCTCTAGGCCTATGTTCCTTGCTACCTCGCTGCCATAAAATCCCTTTGCAAACACTGTGGTTACACAAACATTGATCAAGAACGAAAGAACGAGAGCAAGAGTGCATTCAATGGAATAGTAGTTGATTGCTTCTCTAATGCGACTTTCCTTTCGAGTATCGACTTTTCGCGACTGTACAAGAGCAGAATGCAAGAAAACGTTATACGGCATGATCACACAACCCACAACTCCCACGGCTTGCCGTATGGTTCTTGAACTTAGTTTTGGTACTACGACACCTGCCAAGATGAGTCTAAATCATTTAGGAGCTGAAATGGTCAGCAGTGCATGAGTAACTGAGAGAGAAGACAGCAGAGACCAGATACCTATTAGAAGCTCGATCACATCGGGCTTGGTTTGGCCAAACATTACAGCGAATGAAACAGCCATTGTAGCAATGAGAAATCCAAAGAAAGCTTCCAGTTTCCTCACGCCATAGTTCTCAAGGAACAAAAAGATGAAGCTGCCAAGAACATTAGAGAAATAAGAATTACATGTTACCATGTCATGATTTTCTCAAATTGAAGTACCAAAACAAGTATCGGATTCATCTGAACTACGATAGATGAACTTCAAATAAGAGAAACAAGAAGAATGATTTCAACAAACAAGTAAAAAAGATTCAAATTTGGCAGAAAAAAAAGAGATTCTTTCCCAGATCATAGAGCAGATAATTCTAATCCATCTGAGATGTGATAAACTAGCATTAACACATACTTCTTCGAATTTATTATCTATCACTAGTGAGCTTAACATCAAACAGAAAATTCTTATTATCGGAAGAAATTGACACCAATAAAAAATAACCAGTCATTAATCCCAATTAAAAAGGTAAAATCCATTGAAAAGCTTCCAAATTTACTAACGAGAGAAGAGATATGATCGACGAGTAGCAGCGACGTACAATTGTTGCCCCCCCACACCAAAATACGAGCAACGAACCTAAGATCAACGTAATAAACAAATCTATACCTGAGTCATAATCAAATCAGTAGAACATTTAAGAGAGAACGAAGATAAAGAAATCCGACATAAAAGTCAATCACATTCAAGCTAATGGAACAAAGGCAAACGAGAAACAATTTGATCAAACACAAAGCAGACTGTGCTAAAGAACATAAAGAAGCAAGCCTATTTTATCGATGAGTAGAAAAGAACCAATCTTTCCGCATCAAGACCACGAAGTCGGATCTCACCAATCCAAAGCAGTGATGACTACCCCTACCCAGAGCGGAATCGCCCCACCACTAAGTGTCTTGATGGCGATGGAGCTCCCGATGACCTCCTGGATGTCGGCACCGATCAAGGCGGTCTCGGCCATCAGCCACAGCGCCAGTCGCGCCCACTGGGGGTACTCCTCTCGGCAGAGCTCTGCCAGGTGCCGACCAGTTGCCACCCCTAGCCTCGCCGACAGCAGCTGGATGAGGAGCCCCATGGCGGTCGCCCAGAGGAGGAGCCAGAGGAGGGAGTACCCCGCGATGGCCCCCGCCTGGAGATCGCCCTCGAGGTTCCCAGGATCCAGGAATGCAATGCACATCAGAAAGCCCGGGCCCATGAAGCGCCACAGCTTCCGCCACGAGAAGGGCCGCGGGGGTCCGTCTAGGGCGCCGGCCGCCGGCGAGAACTCGTCATCGGATGTGGAGATCTCCACCTTCTCGTCGGATTCGTACGCTCTCTCGGACTCATCGTCGGAGTCACGAGCACCGGAGGAGGAGAGGAGGGGCGCCGCGACTTCCTTTCCGTGAGACGCCATGTCGGATGCCCGAGAGACGTATCCGTTGTCCGTCGTTTCGAAGCCGAACGCAGGAGCTTATGGAGCCCTGCTATCGTATCCCGATTTAAGGTACGATTGTGTGCTCGGTGAACTGACGTGGCGTTCACGGAGGGGGAAAGTTCGCTGTCTGGAGTCGAACCGTCACCTCAATCGTATCTCAACAGGATGTGTCTCGGTTCCCAGAACTCGGAAGGCCAGGATCTCCTACGGGAAACGATATGAACGAGGCACACGCAAGGTGTCCACGTGTCGTGCTCACTATTTAATCATTGATGAGAACCACGACGAACGAACACCTGGCGCATCTCCCTCTGGACAAACAATCTGTTTTGTGTTGTCATCAAACAACTCATCAATCTAATACGCCGAATGGTGATCCTCTACGTAGAATGCCAGCCACGCAGGACGCCAGCGCGGTCTGAGGTTTAGTTATTTTCAGCTTCGGTAAGGTTACCCGTGCGGCAAAACTGTTATGCGCAATACAGAAAGCGCGGCCAACGGGTGAACGGAGGGAGCGGAGGCACGTACCGGGGGAATGAACACAACCGGGGGGGGCAATGACGTGGCGAAAGTCGCGTGGAGGGAAGGGGACACGGGGAGAAGCTGCGAGGAAAGTGCGTGGCGGACCGGTGGTGGGGCACGGGCACCAGACGTCCGTTAGCGCTTCGTCCCACCGTTCCCACGATCTCGGGAACGGAAGCATTTGATTCACCGTCCGATCTACGAACCCGATCCGATCATGAATCGGAGTCGAATCGATTTGACCCAAATCACGGGTTAATTAAAGGGATAATATAAACAAAATTTAAATTCTGAAGGAATGCATGTAATATTATTATAATTAGAGGGGAAAATATGCTACTAATTAATATATGTAAAAATGGTCTAAACAAAGGGAAAAGGAAAAGACCATCGAGGGTTCACTCGGCGTCCGAGTCGAGACGATGAGTGTTGCGGAAGCAGGGCCTGCAGACCTTCCTCTATCGCGCGATTTCTCTACCACTCACTCTGTGCTCCACCTGCTTCTCCGATTCGATCTCCTTCCTCTCGCCGCGGGAGTCTGGTGCCCTCCTGCTTCCGGACGCGGAGAATGGAGGTAATTTGTCGCTCGTCCGTTCTTTATACTCTGATTTGGACAAACGATCGAAAATGCGCCTCCGATTCATGTCAGAGGGCATTAGACTATGAGAGAGAGAGAGAGAGAGAGAGTTCCTTTTCCAGGATCCTCGAGTGGGGGCCTTTTTCCTTAGAAGGCCTCAGAGTACCTTCTTGTTTCTCTCCAGTTTGGCCCTGCATGAGTAACAGCAAACTGGGTCTTTCTGTCAGTCGACAACCTCATTCTCCTTCCTTCCTGTGAGAGGAGTTTTTCTTATATGGAGGTGGGTGCAAGTGGTACCTATATATATCATGGCATGGTATCAGAAGATATCTTCTTGCATATACCTTCTGGATTTTGGGGCTGCAGCGGGAACGAGTTTGTACTAGGACAGTGATGGTTAACATCTTCTGGCGTTGACGGGTAGGCTGATACAATTTTGTTGTTTTTATTGGTATTGGGGTAGACTTTGGAGTTTTATATGTATATATATGGCCTTCGTTCTATGGGCATTGTTTGTTTTATTCATAATCGGACTTTGATCTCGAATAGAATATTCTCAGCAGTCCTTTCTTCTGTGAATTTCATTTTCATATGATGTTCTCCTACTTGCAATGAAACCTGATGTCAATAAGCTTTTGTTTGTTGCATCATTCACTCCTCTCCGTCCAATGACATGCTCACCAGTAATTGTGGGATAAGCTACGTAGCACATATTGCTCTTGTTATGCTTCTCTCTGTTTTGCTAGCAGAAGACTTGCTTCTGTTAATGCTGGTCCATTTTTAAAGTTAATTTTATATGTTTATTTGAGGACATCTTGCATTTTTCGGTTATATTCCATGATTTTATATGTTAATTTTGTATGGTTACTTCCATGATATGTTGAATACTATTTGCCAAGTGTTGCATATCAAGTATAAAGGTCTGAATATCTGACACTAAACTAAATCTGAGAAATACAAGTCTGAATAGAATTTTAGAAAAGTGCTAAAGATATCTGTGGATGGATCATATATTAAGGCCTTCAAGGTCTACTACATGATACAACTGTTGCAACTTTTGACTTTAATGAAAATTTTCAAGTAATTTTAACTTACATACACCATTTAACTAGTACATGAAATAAGTGGGACAATTTTGTTTTTGTGAGTAGTTGTTGTCCTATTTATTGGCAATATAATGCAGTACATTTTTTTTTCCTTTTCTGTGGAACATTTACTCTGATGACAAACTTGTGATCCTCATATGTACTCTTAGTTTGTCTCTGTTATATATTTCTATTATGTATATATGTATTCGTATGTATAAATGTATATATATTTGTCCACGGAATTATGCTTTGCTGATATGCTACTGCTGTTAATCATGTTAAGTTTGTTTATTTTGCTTGTTCTATGTTCACAGAAGGATGTTGGACCTTTCTTTCTATTCACTAGGCAAGCTTCTAAGGGAGAATGAGTACAGATAGATTACATACATATGAGGAATCAATTTAAGTGGATAATAATGGAGGAAAAAGAGATGCTTACAAGTTACAAGCAGTAAGTTAGGACATGGTTCTCTTCATGACAAAGGAGGAAAAAGTTAAATTGCACAAACTGGAATCACTCGGTCAACCCCAAATAGCTGAGACTTAAACCTATAAGTAAATTAAGATCTATTAAAAAATTAAATGAAAGTCATACATTAAACAACTAACCTAGAAAACATTACAAACATAATGTAAGAGATTAGGTGGTCTCTAGAAATGCCAAATTAGATGATGCTCAAGATGAAAACAGATTATCCAAAACCCCAAATGCACAGATGTGAATGGCCATTTCTAACTTCCAATCAATCACTTAGTTGCCAAATACTTGGCTAAAGAATGGATGTTAATGGTCCTAGCAAAAAGGGCACCATGTCGCTGGAGTTAAGCAAGTTTTTGACATGGCCACTGGATGGTTGTGATTTGTCCTTCTTTTAGATGGATGATTCGGATTTCCGAGCCCAAGCAGGAGCACGATCCGGTTCATAATGATAGTTGTATTATAGTTCCTCTGCTGCGTTACATTTGTCTTTTGTGCAATTTTCCTTTTACATGCTAGGACTTTTTGTGTTTCCTAACAAAGTTCAATAAGCATATATCGTGCTCCTTGTCACTAACTTTGTGGATCGGCATGGAACCTCGATAAATTAATTTGATAGCAACAACAGAAGTAGGCTGCTCATGGTTTTATTGCACCATACTTTGCATGTCATGAGGTCTGGCATGCTTTTGGTTACCGTCTTCTAATTGAATGCCGCCTTGAAAGTGAGCTCGTCAAAATTTTATGTTGTAAGGTCTAACATCTTCTAATTTTGTGGCTCCTCGAAAGTGAGCTCAACTAAGTTTTCTGTTGTAAGGTTTAACATCTTCTAATTTTGTGCCTCCTCGAGAGTTTGCTCATCTAAAATTCTTTTACATGTTTGCAGCCATCAAAGTATGATGAACTGAAGCCAACTGATCCAAGCAGCAGCTTTTCACTACAAAATGAGGATGCAAAATTTACCAAGGAAGCAGACTAGTTGCTCGTCTTGATTATCAAAACAAATCCATCTTTTCATGATGACTTCAAAATGTGGAACCGGTAACAATCATTCCTCCGAGAGCTTTATGGATCACTAAGATTCTAGGGTACAACTAGTGTCAAGCTCATTGTTTCTGAGCCCCCCAATATTAACGACTAGTGTGCCAAAACGAAAGAGTTGTCTTCCCAGTCTGCAAAACAAGAAAACTCAAAGATTTAGGATAAATGAACAAAAAGAAAGTGTATCTTACTTACAGTTGTAGTGATCAATTCTTTCCATCAAAGTAACAAATGTGATGAACACTTTATAAACACAGATGTATCGTGTATTGAATATGATCAAAGACAACTTTGCCAGTTGGATTGACTTTTTGTTCCAGATCGATGTTCTCTGTTAAAATAATGGTACAGATTCCAATCCATCTATAGATAATCTCTACATGCATTGCAATGCCCTTTTTCTCGATATCACTCTTTGTTTAGTGGCATGCGGCCATCCTATTAACTTCTTAAATACTACTGGGAGGAGTAAATATTTTCTACTCTGGATGAAGAGTGATCAGTCTTTGATTCGGGCCAGATTTATATGTTTAAATAAGCTTATCGATCCAAAATTAGATTCTGCACAGGTAGACGATCAGTACAAATCGAAGTGAAATCTACGACACAAGTCCCCGGGAAGCTTCTTGGCAGCGGAAATTACCGGTCAATAAGAGTGGCTATCTTTTACCTTGCGAACCGTTGACGAGTCTCTTTTGGCTCATGGCCGCCTCGGTATGAGTAAGCCACGTGCGCTTTGTAAACTGTGCTTCGCGCACTGTTCCGTTGTGCGTTTTACCAACCGAATGTTATCTTCCAATGGAATAATCACTCGAGTCCACGCGATCCGACCGACCACGTCAAGTCAGGGCCGACATCGAGTTAGGCGCACATGCGCCGGCGACAAGTCGACTCGGGTCGAGGTCAACCACGACGCCCCTTAATTTCCAACGCCCACAACACAATCCAACACGGTTCGATCCGAGTCACCACCGCCCACCCACTCCTCACCAGGTTCGGACCCGGCCCGGTCACGCGGCGATATGATTCGGTAGGACACGGAGCACATGCGATCTAAGATTCTGTGTATCAAGTAAAACGTTTCCCATCATTCCCAGACCCATGATGAGGTGGTCCGGGATCTGCTCCCCCCGCTCACCGAAGCAACAGCAGATAGAAGGTATTTATCACGTGGAAGAAACGCCACCTTGAAATATGAAATTAAATTATTATTATTTTTTTTGCGTCCAAATAAAAGTCACTTATCGCCGTCAACTCATGAATTCGAATATGAAATTAACGAAAGCAGCTCTATTTTTTGGGCTCCGAATTATTGCTGAGGTACCATTACATCAACACGTCCTGCGACTACTCTAAACACGTACTCACATGGCTAGAATCATCCATCTTCACTAAAACACGGGACTATAATGCTAACTTGACGGCGTCAAACAAGGAGACGGTCAACGACAGCCTTTCCTTTTCCCCACGACACGTTCGCCCCGTTGACCCACGAGCTAGATGACGCGGAAGGTCGGTCGGCCGGTCGGACGGCGGGGCCCGCGGGGCTTCAGTTGTGTCCGGGGAAGTGCGGGATCCACTTGGGCAGGGCGGGGCTGAAGTGGGCGGAGACGACGCGGGAGTCGAGCAGCTCGAGGATGGGGGGGAAGTTGACGCAGCGCGGCACCTTGTACTGGTTGATGGACGCCCCCCTCGATATGGCGTAGTCCATCAGCTCCTCGAAGGTGCCCCCCCGTACCACCCGTATCTCCAGCGGCCCGATGGAGCCGTCCGCCACCCGGCTCTGCCGGTACACCGAGTTCAGCGCCTCCTCCATCGCCAGGCAGCACCGCTCCATCACCCCGTCCCGGGCCAGCGCCGCCGCCGCCGCCGCAGCGGATGACGACGAGTCCTTGGCCAGCAGCTCCCAGTAGATGACGTAGTGCCCCGGGATGGCCTTCGTGTCGGCGTGGCTCGTGTACTCCACCACGCTGGCGTTGTAGGGGCGGAGCAGCGCCGACGCGCGCTCCACCGCCTTCTGCAGCTCCGCCTCGTCGGTCTTGTCCGACTCGATGCTCAGGAGGACGTTCTTCCGGCGGACGAACCGGAACTGCGGCGCCGCGTTGTGGAACCCGGTCACCCGCAGGACATCCCCCACGCGGTACCGGTTCAGACCGGCGTAGGTGGTGATCACAAGTTCGTACTCCTTTCCCACCTCCACGTCCGCCAGGTCCACCAGCTGGGCCGTGTCCACCCCCTCGCCCGGGTGGTGGCCGTCGCCGCCGTGCGGCAGGAACTCGAAGTAGGCCATGTTGGGCATGATGGTGTAGGAGACTTCGGAGGGGTCGCACATGGGGTTGAGGTTGAGGCCGAAGTAACACTCGGAGGAGGCGTACATGGTGCACGCCATGGGGAGACCACCGCTGTAGTACTCCAGGGTGGGGATGTACTGCGCCATGGCTCCCGTCACGATCACGTCCAGGTACTTGGTGTTGGGCCAGATCCTGGTGATGATCCCGGCCCACTCCCCCTCGGAGCACTCGGCGGCGACGAATCGGGCGAGCTCCGGGTCCGGCTTGAGGAGCTCAGCCACGGCGCCGCGGATGGAGGGGTCGGTGACCTTGGCGGTGAGAGTCCCGGCCGCGATGTCCTGGGAGAGCTCCCTCCAGTGGAGCTGGAGGAAGCGGATGGCGCGGAGGAGGCCAGAGGCGAAGACGGCGCCCACGCGGAGTACGTCCAGGCGCTGGAGGAGGCCGCAGAGCATCTGCGCGTACATGCTCTGGAACGCGTCGGCGCAGAGGATGGCGGCGGTCGGGCTGGTGTACACGTTATAGGGGTCGTACGGGCGGCTCTTGAAGTGCTCGCTCTTGTAGTAGCTCGTCAGCACCGGTCGTGCCGTCAGCCCGCCGGGTGTGCTGGTCTCCGATTTCACGAAGAGGAAGTAGAGCCCCTTCCCCTTGTCCAGGCCCGGCACGTAACTGTTCCATTGCCAAGAAGCATCGAGTTAGATGATCGGTACATGTTGATCTGATTCATGATGACAAGGTAAAGAAGATAAAGCAAAGATGGGGTACTCACAGATTCATAACAGGCATGAGAAGGCTGTAAAGGAGCTGCCTGCGATCGAGCTCCTCTTTGATCGTGGGCATCAGCTTCCTCTCGCCAGCAGACGTCCCAGAGCTTCGAAAAGGAGCCAAATAAGATCTCAATTGCACACGTTCCCAGCTTCGAAGGAAGATGAAGGATTCAATGTACCTGGTGAGGAACTCAGAGATGGGATGGGCGGAGAGGATGGCGGAGCGGTCGCCGTTGGCGATCCTCTGGATCTCCGGCTGCAGGTCCTCGTAGGTAACCACGGGGACCTTGGCCTTGAAGGCGAGGCGGTCCGTGGCGCCGCCGAGCCCGTACCTCCGGAGGTACTCCGTCTCGGCGTTGCGCGTCAGGATCTCCGCCAGCACCTTCTCCTGCACCGCATCCGCGTTCCCGGTCATCTCCTCGATGAACCTCAGCTTCTCCGCGTGCTTCTCGTGTGTCGCCGGCCCGACCTTGGCGGCGTTTCCGTTCGCCGCAGGCACCACGGTCTCCACGGCCATTTTGGTCGCCGTCACTCAAGCGATTACCGCGATGCGAGGAGGGAGGAAGAGAGCCTGTGCGCTCAGAGTGAGAGAGAGAGAGGGAATGCGAGAGGGGGATGGAGAGCGCTGAGGCCGCTGCGGGGGCTTTTATAGGCGAAGCCCTGCGTGAGATTGGAAGTGCGGGGACTGCCGAGGCCGCATCAGGGCGTGTAGACACCGGGTGCGACACCGTGGGCCCCGCGGTCGCGTCGGGATTCGGACACCGCCCCGACACGCGGGCCCTGGCGCGGACGAGCCTCAGGCCAGCAACCTGTCGCGGTCCACCTCGACACCGGCACACGTGTCGCCCCGGGGCGGGCCAGGGCGGGCGGAGCTCGACAGCAACCTCCGGCCGGCGGGCGTGGCAACCCAGCTCCGCCGCCGGGGCCACGTGGCACCATGTCGGGCGTGTGCCCCGACCGCGACCGCGACCGCAGCTGCTGCTCCTTTGCAAGACGTCTCCGGTTCCTTGCCGGGATCGAAGAGGGTGGCCTTGTCCGCCTCCTCCCCGTCTCCTCTCTCACCCATGGTTTTGGATATCCATAGCGGCATTATTGTAAGCACTCGGAGGGCAGGAGCAGCAGTAGCTTTAGAGTGCACGTATGTCGTATGATGCAGCGGCTGGATAAAGCCGGCACTGAAACATATTTTGTCCCTGGAGCAATGAGCACCTCAATTGGCTGGTTGAGACTTTGGATTCCAATCTGCCATTGTTTTATGAGCCAGCATGTGAGGGCTCGATCATTAGGCCACCAAAGCCTTTGGGGGTACTGTTGTTGCATGGATCACAAAAGATACGGCTGCCTTCATTGTTGTCAGGCTTTTGTGGATACTGAGTCCCATGTCATTTCAAACCTTGGATCTCATTTCAAACCTTCGTTGGTGGCCCTGTCACGGACGCTGCTATTGTCTATTTACCTGCTTGTGCTTGTGTTCATGACTGTGATCAGATCCGTGCATGGATGGAGATCCACAGAGGAGGAGGACCTTCCGAGCTTTCGTTGGGTCTTCTTCGACTTCTCTTTTCATCGACTCGCTTAGCCACCTTCATTTATTCCCTCAACGATGGTAGTCGATGGATGACATTTTAGTGCGCATGCGCGAAGGAGGGCGACCTTTCAACAACATATACCCATCACGGAACCGCTGCGTTCGAGCCACTTGTCGCCACGCTCGCCAAGCAAACTCCTTGTGAGGCGTTGTCGTCGTCATTAAGTGCGCCGTCACGCAACCTGAAACAGCACGGAGGACCGCCGTCGACGGCATGCAGATGAAGTGTTCGCCTTAATGACCGTCAATTTGTTGCTCTTGTAGGGCGAGAGAATCCGATTTGTTGGTGCATGACAGAGTAGCGCTCTACGTCGGCAAGGCCGGCCGACAAGTCTCTCTCTTTAGCCAAAGTGTTCTCGGAGCTTGGATTCCACACCAGCGGCTGGAATGATGTCATCGCGGATGTCGACACAGACTATTCACCGAGAGCATCTCGGCATAACCGAGTTTTGAGCTCCCAAATCTCCATGGAATCCCACAGAAAAAAGTTTATTCGACGGCTACTCCGTGGTGCTCTCGATCGAGTTCCCAAGACCATGTGCACCGTTCGAGAACTAGGATTAGAATCTGTCTATGTTGTCTAGAACTGTAGCTCAACAACTGTGCCTCTTCATGCCCCATCCCCACCCTGTGGCTACTGCATGCGGAGGTCCATGTATCCGTCAATCACCATTAATGCGACCTCGAATCCATGGCTTGAACACCAGGATTTACGTGCCAAACAGCAATTGTTTAATGATTTGCCGTCAGGTGAGGGTCCGACCAGCCCTTCAGTTGTCTCCCCAGGTGCTGACCACCACACTCACGGGCTCGCCACTGTCCTCGGCCACAAGCTGAGCCTCTCACTCTGCGTGTGTGTGTGTGATGACACATCGCAGTGGCTGCCGGCTGCCGGCTATAGCAGCGGAATCCTTAAAGTGAGAGCCCAAGGAACGGCCTTTTCCAGACCAAAGCGAAGTTGCTGCATCATAGTTTCAGATCGTGTGAACCCTTCTCTCTGTCGTTGTTCTTCGTCTCCGGAGATGGAACTTACTGTTCTTCACGAGTTCCGCGCTGCAAGCTCGTCTGCCAATGCATTTATCTCATGGCACGCATCGAGAGACTGTGGAGTGTGAGCTGGTGGCACAGCATCTCACCTCACCTTTCGCTTTCCCCCGAGACATTCTTGGCTTCGCCAGCAGGAAGCTTCATCTCTCCTTCGCAAAGCGAGGGACAAGTTTGACTCTCGTCACTCTGCGTTAGTTAATGCTCAACCTGCGACTGAGGTCGAGAGGTTGAGGTTTGACCTCATGGAGTGGTGTCGACGGTAAAAGAAAGAGGAAAACTATCGGATGCACTCCCGGCGTGCTTCTCGAGTGAGTCAGTGCTGTTGGTGCAGTGGCCAACATGGTGGAGGATGGCACGTAAATTAGTCTGTAACCTGCGACTGACTCGTGATGATGACAGTCATTGGTGAGTGGAGGTCAGTGTCGTCCATGCATGGTAAGAAAGAAGCTCGAATAATGCATCCGAAGCTACGCCACGGTCAAAGAAACAGGTCTCATCACCATTTCCGCTTAACGCTGCCACTGTTACTGTTGCGTGAGTGACGAGACTTGCATGTCTTTTTACCTTTCGGGTGGCAGTCATCTCCCAAAAGGGTGAGACAAGGAGACGGAAGGGCTCGCCTTGTGCTTGCCGATGGTCCAGCGCAGCGGGTGAGACGTGCAGTGGGAAGTGGGAAGTGGGAGTGGGAGAGACAAGTGGGCAGGAAAAAAGCTGATTGGATTGTTCGTCGTCGTCGTCTGAGTTCAGCAGTCCCCACCGTCCCAATGGATAAGCCTTGGTCCTCGTCTTTCGCAGTTCACGGGGAGCAAAGCTGCGAGACTGTGGCACCTCGGCCGCGGCCTAAAGTCAGCCATGTGGTGTCTGAGGTCCGAGTCGGGACCGGATGGGGGATGGTGGTGGGGGGACTTGTGCTGTGACAGAAATGGTCGAGTGCCAAGAACAGGCAAAGGGGTTGTTGGCCCGAGTTAAGTGCTCGACGTGGCGATCGACATGGATCATGCGACGGTCATAGCAGAGGCAGACAGATCGAGTGGCCCTTCGTGCTGGAAAGCTTTTACATGAGCATCACTTGAGGTCAATACCATTTCTCTCTCTCTCTCTCGATTGCTAAGCAAGTTAAAAGACTGAGATGGAGACAGGAAAATTATTAGGGTTCACCCACCCAGTTTCACTTTGTTTTGTGTTAGTGAAGCCTAACTAGATTCCTCCCTCTAAAAAGACCTATCTATATATATATATATATATAAAAGAAAAAAAAGATGAGGAAGCAACCTTTGGCCACTTTGTGGGGTATATTATTTCGATAGAACATGGTTTCCTCGGTCTTCCATCAGCATACAATAATGTAAACTTCATAGGACGACACATGCCATGACGACTAGCCGCATAGTGTTGGAGCTACCAGTGAAAAATCCCATCCGATTGGCCTGTGATTGATGTTTTTGACCTATCTGATGATGTCGATCAATAAATTAAGTTGTTGTTGGAACATTGGACGATCCTAATCGTACGTCGAGCTTTTAAGTTAATCATGTGATGAAGCCCATCAAAGAAGTGAGTTCGATTAAAACTTCTGATGGCATTGTTTACCTTCGTTTGATGCTGCTACTTTAGATTTCTGTCAAACGCTAGTTGATTTCAACCATGATATGATTACAAATGCAAATTATTATTTATCAGTGTCATCAACCAATCAAGTCTTTTTGAGGACCTATTTCATCTGAATCCACACTTTGAAATCTCAGGTATGGATCACAAGCGTCTTGGATTAATAAGAATCCTAAGTAGATCCAACCCACCACCGTCACCGCCACTACAACACCAGCAAAAAATAAGCTAATTAAAATTGTCATTTATATGGTCAATAGTTGCGTGTTGATACAACAAAACATATATAACCCAATAAACCACCAGTCCAATAATATATAAGCTGCAGGAAGTTGCAGCTTTGCTCTCTTCGAGACACTAATAAAGAAAAATCTAACAAAAGCATAACTGTGTACATCAAACAAGGTGGGAATAATTAGGAAAAACTGGGAAAACAAATTAAAGGATGATTTCGTCTTGAAAGCTAACGTTGAGGGTTTTATTCGGCAGGACAATACTGTTAACCACCACAACTTCATCTTCAACTGCAACAGCTTCTCCTAAAATTCCAAAATAAAAAAAAGATGGTAAGTGAGCAGCATGTCAAAGGAGTAATGACATTAACGACAGAATAGGAACAGGAAAAGCTACCGAGGATAGTGATTCCAAGTTTGGCGTTGTAGTCTCCCTCGGCCTGAGATGCATGCTCGAATTGTAAGGGAACTCAGAAAGTTCATCGACATCTCATATACAGAGAGTGTCAACATGCTGAGCAAAGTTAATAAGAAGTTGCTTTATTAAAACAGCTACTTTGCAACCCTGTTTGTTGTTTTTGACTCCTGTTCCTCACACTACTAATGAGGACTAAGTTTTGTACCAACTAAACCAGGCAAAAGAATAGCTGGATATATGGACAATGTTAAATATCTGCAGGTGTTTCCAGAAGGCATTGGCGATATTAAACACCATAGTATATGAGCATTAGCAGACAACTTCTTGGATGTTCAAGTCTGACAGCGCTGTTACCTCACTGGCTTGGATAGGTTAAACGCAAGTTTAAAATATCAACAGTACTTGCGTGTTTGGTGGCGAAGGCAAATAATTTTGATTGACAAAAGCAGCAATGGAACAAACTACAGGAAACAAGTTGATGCAGTTAATAACATTATTATGTTTTGATGGGAAGGATGAACATGAAGATATACCAGTTAGTGGTAATAATTAAAAAGAAATATTATTGTTTTTCAACTTGATGAGACATTTGAAGCAGTCCATGTCCTCTACAAACTCCAGCTAATAATAATAATTATTGACAACAAAATCATCCAAGCGTTTTGGGGCAAAATTTGGTCCATAGAAGGAAGAATTGTAATACTTTTCTCACAAGGAACTTGAATCAGTATTCTGTTCATTAAGTGTAACTTCCCGAATCCTTCTTGTCATTTTGAAACCATATTAAGACTCAAACTTCATGTGGCACTTGTTCAAAGGGATGGAAGTAGGTGTGAAACGATAAAATAGGTGTGTGAAGTACTAGAAGAACCCAAAAATAAGCTTTAAATAAGGGGGAAAAAGGTTGGTTCTTCAGAATTGCTAGGCAAGTGTGTGAATGAAAAAGATTGTTGGTCCTGAATATAATCTCATCTAATTTTTATGAGAAAAAATCAATCTCACTCCAGTATCATGAAATAGCATAAGCCTAAGAAAATTCATGTTAATTATTTTAGTCGATACTTCCAAGATATAGAATTGTTAAAGACAATATGAACCTAAAATTATGACTCATTTAGTATGATCTCCCCTGCCTCATCTTACAATTCTAGATGAAAAAGGTTGTCTCCAGTGAGTTGACTAATAAATAATCTCACTATAGTCCAAACTAATTTATGAGAAGTTGAGAACTAATCATATGTATACATACATATATAGACACACACACACAGACACAGACACAGACACAGACACACACACACACACACACACACACACA